GTTTTATTAGTTCTGTTAATTAACTATTAATTCTATTAATTGACTGTTAGTTCTGTTAGCTGATTGTTAGTATCCGTTAGGATTTTGTTATAAAAGAAATGAAATTTAAATTTAATTTTATTTGTTAGTTTCGTTAACAGAATACCAATGAAACGCCAATAATCAGTTAATAAAGTTAATAATTAATTAATAAAATGTTATAACTTAATCTTAAATAAGGGTTATGTTCCTTAATTCGTATAGGTGAGGGATTAAAAATATTATAATATAAGGTGAAAAAATGTTAAAATCTATAAACTTATTAAAATAAAAGGTTAAAAGTGTTATAATATAAGGTGATGAGTTAAAACTTATAAATTTATTAAGATAAAAGATTAAAAATATGTTTTAGCCACTAAAATGAGCTCAAACAAATTTCCAAGGGTGTAATGGGTTCAACTCCCACCTATAATAACTTGACTAGTTGCCTTTACTCATTAATTTCACTTGTTAAAACAAAACCGAAAAAAAAAAAAAAAGAGAGAGAAAGAAAGAAAGGAAAAAGACAAGGGAAGCCCTTTTCTCTTTTTAGCTTTTTCTCTTTGAAGGCTTGATCTCTCCTCGAACTGTGGCGTCAATTATGTTCAAAATTTTAAAGTTTCATAGACATTTGCCATATGCTAAGCAACGTATTGAAGAGTATGGAGCCTCTTCCACCGACAATCTTGCCGGCTTTGCACTCAAAAAATTATATCAAGGCTAATAATGGGTTTTTATTTAGGGTATTTATTGTAAAAGAATGCAAGAGAAAAGAGATCAGATGGCGAATCTCTTAAAATGCTATAAACACGTAGAGCTTGGAAAAGCACTTAGCTTAGGGCAGTGGGTCCTCGGAGGTAAGGCCATCGACCTTCACCTTATGATGAGTAGTAGTAAAAAGATAGGGATGGCCTTCGCTATGACACCGCGTAGAGACTAGTGGGCAACCAAATGCCATTTATTTTTATGCCCACTTCCGCCCACTTCACATGATTACATGCTTATTTTTTCTTATTGTATAATTTAATATAATTTAAATTATATAGTAATTTTAAATTTTTTAATAATTAAAGTTTCTTTTTTTCATTACATATTTCTTTGAAATTGAAAATTTAGGAAAAACTCTTAAAAAAGTTGCTTTTCCCACAATTTCCTACTTCTCCCATTTCAAATCGTTTGCATTTTAAAATTTATGGGTTTGAGGTCAAGCCACTGCACCTCATTCTCAGCAAATAGGAGTTATTGGGTTAAAACCAATTTTTAGCCTCTCACTTTACAAAATTGGTGCGTTTTAGCGCATAACCTTATAATATGACACCTTTAGCTTAAGTTGATAGGTTTTAACTCTTCATCTTACAAAATTGGTAAGTTTTAGTCCCTCACCTTATATTATGACACTTTTAACCCCTTATTTATACAAATTGAAGAAAATAACTCTCATTTAACATTAGGTTATAATGTTCTATCAGTTCTATTAATTGACTGTTAGTTTTGTTAACTGGCTGTTAGTATCCGTTAGCATCCCATTAATAAAACTAACAAATAAAATAGAATTTAAATTTCATATTTTTTATAATGAAATGCTAACGGATGTTAATAGTCAGCTAACAAAACCAATAGAATGTTATAACCTAATATTAGGTAAGAGTTATTTTCTTCAATTTGTATAGGTGAGGGGCTAAAAATGTCATAACATAAGGTGAGGGGTTAAAACCTATCACTTTTGTAAGGTGAGGGATTAAAACCTATCAAATTTGTAAGGTAAAAGATTAAAAGTGTCATATTATAAAGTGAAGGGTTAAAACCTATTAATTTTATAAGATAAGGGATTAAATGTTGATTTTTGCCGGAGTTAGTGGGGGCAGATGAAGCCAGTGAAGCCACCTGTGTTGTGTGTCATTGTTTGATAAAGTAGACTTCCAAGATTGAACGATGGAAAGGAAAAGTTCTAAAGAAAAAAGGGAAATTAATAACCGTGCCTCTTGCTGTCTTTGGGTTTTCGCCTTTTTCTCATATTTCACGCAAAAATCCAAAAATCTAACAAAAAATCCGAAAACCATCATACACAATGGTACATTTTTAATATACATATTAGCTAAAAGGAGTGATTTTTTTCTTAATTTACGGTGCTGATGTGGGTTTTATTAAGATTAATTTCTGGGGGTACAGATGGGACTGGAGAGGAAAATAAGGTAAAATTGGAAGTGCAGAGACTTAATTTAGAATAATTATCTAAATTAGTCTTTTCTGGGAAAAATAATTTTAATGCACCTATTTTTTCTTACAGTAATTATTATTTTTTTTCAACTACTCTTTTTAGAGATTTTCCATTAAATTTATTAGTCCAGTGAAGACGGTAGTACTAACTTCACCCTTTTAACTCTTTTCTGTTGGTGCAGTATTTTAATTCTCCATTAATTAATTTAGTTTTGCTTAGAAGACACGGGAAAATAATCGGAACCTCTGATGTGTCACGCGATGGAATCTTAATGATTATTTTAAAAGCGAAAATTAAACTAAATTTCATTTGTTAGTGTTGTAGTTTGTGATGGGTTGTGTTATAATTGCAATTTTTTTATTATTTTAATAATATATAAATAAATAAAATTAATATATAAAAGTATATAAAAATTAATTAAAATAATAACATTAACTTTTTAAATAAATGACTATGAAAAAAATTCATGTAAAATATAGTCAAAACTCAATACTAAGATTAAATATTATTAGTAAACACACATAAAAGCATTAATAATATATTGGTTTGAGTAAAAAAACTTAATTTTTTTCAAATAAAATCTTGAATGTCAGTTTCTTGAATAAAGAAACAAATGTAAGGAGAGTTTTTTTTCATAAGATCTGATGTAGTTTAATTTTAAATTAATTAAGATTAATATAATTGTTAGATTTCGAAAGATTAAAAAGAAAAAAAAAACACAAAAGTGATTACCAAACCCTTTTATTAAAGCTCTCTCCGCTTTTAAGGACCATAGTTAGTAATTGAGAAATTTTATTGGGTAACAAATATATTTTTATGGTAAAAGGTATTCTACCAAGGGTATTATCGTGATACACAATGTAAAATTTTTCCAAATTGTCACCCTCCCTAATCCTATGTGCCATTTTTCTCCTAATGACCCATAACGAAAGCATAAAAAAGTCCTATATAAAGAGGGGGATTATTACATCTCCTCATCAGTGTATTCTCTCAACTTTCAGCTTTAGCTGGCTCCACTCTCCTCCATCCACTCGCCGGCGATCATGGCTTTCTCACCCAA